TCTATTTATTCATTTAGTCGTAAACCATGTAGCGACACAAAGCAAAATCGAGAAATGACCAAATAATGAAAAGCTCAGGGTTATGGGGATCGCGTGAATATGAACCACTGAAAGCTTCGACAAGACGTCTCAGTAATATTTGGGGCATATTCGTCAGGGCATGTAAGCTATACGTTCCTCCAACAAAACAGGTAAAAGTACACTTCCTATAGTCCGAAATTGTCCGTCCTAACATCTCCATACGATGTTCGTTGTCCATTGTGCAATGATAACTATGTGTCTACTGGCCTTCGTTAAACTAGGCCCGTCTGTAGTGTAACAGGCGGTAGAAAGCGTTCGCCAAGGGATATCACACGATAATACGGATGACTGTGGAACAATTATTGACAATCCGTACGAAATGCAGTGTGTTGTTTTTATGATTCGCATATATATACCTATAAGGGCTTCGTGTCGTGGCACAGTAGGTGTACATTACCAGTGACGACGATTTTTACAGAGAATTGTTCCTTTACTCGATCTAAGGATAGTCAGAATGAACATATGATCAATCAGTCGTTGGTCCCCTATTTTACTTAACAGTAGTTGCGACGACAGTGGCGACGCACGTCCCCGTACGTTTATCCAGCACCTTCTAGGATCGAGACCAACGGATACCCCGTTGTTGTCATATAGATTGTAATATAGGAACCAATAAGGCATATTCAAGGTGTAAACAACAACAACAAGCAAACGACAATCTACGTAGCGTGGCCTGATGATTCTGGAGGTTGTTTTGACGTTTGAGCTCGTGCCCGTGGTTATAAGAAGTATTCAGCATCAACATTTACATATCCATATATTGGCCGCGTGTCATTGAAGTCGTAGTTGTTGCGTATCACAGGAGTAATCTTAGAGGGCGGCCATAAACCGCGTCAGCACTAGCGTTGTTCTTTTTTAGCTCGTCTATGCTGCAAACTGTGACCGGCGGCGAACGTCCGCCTAACGTAGTATCGTGCGATGTTCGACTGATCCTCAGAGCCTATCATAGTACATGTAACGGAAATAGCCCAAAAAGCGAGTTTTGTTTGTTGTTAATTGCTCGGGCGGTATTCGCAATGTGAACTGGGTTTAGAATCTAATTTTCAACCCAATTTACACTTATAATATAAACAGCGTTTACGAAAGAACGATATTTGGTACAAAAATATCAATCATTTTCTGCGGACGCCAACCGCAGAAGCAGCCTTGTCTATGGTTGTGTTCTGTGCTCTCGGGCTAGAAGAATGGAGCTCATTTTTTTTCGTTGGTTTTGCCTGCTCTGAGCCAGTCGACGCACCAACACCGATTCTCGAATATGTCGCAAGGCTGTTGCAGATAGATCGTGAAGACACGACCGACGCGTGCAAGGGCCACTCGCGTATTCTGTGCAGTGCGGCCAGCTTCCGAGCCGAGAAAGCAGACCCACCTGCTTGAATCGAGCTACAGCATTCGACAACATTGCTTAGGTCTCCCAGCATCGGCGTTTTGCCTTTACAGCATCCGACACACACGTGTATAGGCAAAATACCTCAGCATTTCGTGACGACTGCGGCTGTGCCAGTCAACGGTTAGAACGACACTGCACGCCAATATCCACGTGTCCGGTAGCTTCTGACAAGCTATTAGCCAGCGTAGTTGTCTAGGACTGCTATTGTCCTGTCGCGTCGGACGACATGCATGCCCCCTGCCACCTTTGGTGCTCGCGGTCGCTAAGTCGTACTACAGAGTAACCCTCTATCCCTTAGCGAGTATAAATTACTGAGATTTTACGATATATTATCGTTGTTTTGCTTACGATTCTATGCAGTTTTCGGTACTTTACACTATAGTTAATTTAGAGTAGAAATTGTGCCACAATTCGAATGCCGAGAGATGTTGCTGCAATTTTGTTCACGCATTTGATCGCATCTAGGTGGACTTAAGCGTAGCAAAACACGTCTTTAACAAAGCATGGAGTACATTCGATTATATTACGGGATTGATCATTTAGGTCTAAATAAGATGCCAACGTATTTTGCTTGCCGTGCACTATTCTATTTTGCATATATAATAGGAACAATCACAGAAATAACATTTATATATATTTCTCATCCTTCACATCTCTATACTCCTCATATTTAGCTCGGTGCACGCCTGCCAAGGTCGCGCACAGCAAAAGTTAAATTCTAGCTGCAAGTAAGTTTGACGGGCTTCATCGCGTACTCAATAGTGTTATATACGCAGCAAGCGCACACTCGACCCGGCCGTGTTCAACTAGTTTATCGGCTATTGAAGTTTAGCCAGCTGGGTGTCGTCCATTCGTTCGATAGCATTGATAACTTCGGTTCTAGTAGCATATCAACATTGTACCTTGACATAGCAATGGTGACTGCAATGCTGGTAGCGGGCCGGTAGGCAACGACTCAGTGATGGCTCACTAGTTCTTCCATACAGCCACCTCAACGAGCCGAGGACACAGACAGCCTAACCGACCGAATGGTATAGACTGTCGAGTCCGCAGCGGCAGTTAATGACGGACGAAAAGATCATTGCGGCTGCTATCTCCACACGGCGGCAGCAGCAGCTTACAGCCAAAAATTCAAGCAGAGAGTCAAACAGCCTACGTCTATTGCGTTCGCGGTGCATAGTGGTGGTGGTAGTGTCCTGAAGCCATGGCTGAAGGCAAAGGGCCGATCGCGAGGGTTTACTGGTAGGCAACGCCGAAGGGATGGGGAAGAACTCGGTGTGGTCTGATCCACTAGCAGACTCAGAGCAGCGGTACCAGCAGTCCAACAGACAGTCAGCAACGTACGTGCGCCAATATGGTGATCAATAATGTTCTAAAAATAATATTTGCGCCGACCTTGAACGACGGATAGGCAGGCCAACGCTTGATAATGGTTCACGCAGCAATGAAAGCGGTGGTCGCACTACATCGACAGATATAAGCTCTTCGTTAATTGGATTTGCTTGGCACGTGGATTGTCTAGTCGTTCCAGCTCGTGCGTCATCGCTCGTGCTGCTGTCACCGACACTCGAAAACTGAGCAGGCAGAATGACTTAGTAAACCTCAGCCTTTTTCAAATTAAAGACCCGAGACCCCACGCTATCAGGCCTCACCTAAGGCCTCCTGAGTGCCGATTTCGTCAAGGAACAGCCGAATATTATTGACAGAGCCGCTGTCGTCATCGTTACCACCAGTCAAGTGATATCGATGCCGTAAATACATACGCAACAGTTTAAGCTTACACTCTGTATGGCGTAGCGGAGATAGTGACGATAGCGATACGATGTCTACAACTGTCAAACATCGAAGAACACGCTGGCAGTACATCGGCTCAGGCTGGCCAAACTATCTCACTACCTACAATAACTTAGGCATAGAATTTCGTAAATGAATATGTTATTGCGGATACGCGGCTTCCCCCGCAAGCGGTGCGAGTTACTCGAGGGTTGGCTTGAAACGCGCGTGGCCTTTGCAGCTGTTATTGGTTGAATGTAACTCATGGTTCCTCCCTTTTTTCTGCTAAACAGTGGCCAACATTGCTGTCGACTTCTGCTTTAGTTATTTATAGATTCGAGTCGAATCGAATAAACCGTATGGCATAACAAACTAAAATTATACGTGTTACCATGAGGCAAGAACAATTCCAATATCGGTGCTAGTTCTCTAACTAGCAGATAGTAGAACAATTATCACAGCTAAGAAAATACGTGAATTCATTATAAGCTGTATCGAAATGATGGTGTGTGTGAATAAAAAATGAATTAAGAAAAAAACGTTTACTTTGTAATTTGTCCTTTCCTGCCAAGATTAAAAATTTATAGGTGTCGTTTGTTCCAGTTCGTATGCACGCATAGCTTTTTATGTATCTCTATGTGGCCAATATAATACGACAGGAATACTAGCCAACAAGCTATAGTGGCAACCTGTCTTGATGTCAGCTTCATTCTTACCGAGTACGTCCTTTTTGGCCAAGAGACTGAGTAGTTAGCGACCCTTTGGACCAAAGACCAATATCATATAACTGCATTTAGTTCAACACTACTGCAAGGGGCGTCTTGTTCAATGGCAATGGTGTATTTTGGTGCTCGATTATCTTCGAACTTGCATATACAACCCTGCGCTAACTAGCTCGACTGACTCAAAAAGGTGTCGGCTAACAGAAAATCCATCGGAACAAGACAGGATAAAGACTGAAAGATCTCCAGAACAAACATCGCTTCCTCGTTCAAGTCGGTGTTTTGACTCAAAACGCTTGATAGGTTCCTTGTTGATGTACTCTCCATTGTGTATAGATTGTCAGGCACAAACGGCCAACAAAACTCGTACGCGTGTCTAACCTAATGAATCTACGTATAAGCTACGGCTAATAACGGCCTATGCTGACGGAAGGAGCGATTTGTAAATGCCAGCAAATGAAAGATCCAGACGTTCCGAATACTATACATTGTTTCGTTGTATACAGTGTCTAACGAACAAGGCAACGGCCTTCGAGCTTACTGGAGAAAAATCAACTGGACGTAGATGTTGTCTTGGAAAAAAGAAAAAGGAGGGACCACCTTGATCAGGACAACTCCGAGCGCCGAAAAAAATATTATTTCATAAGTCTAAATGCATTAAGCGAGTCATTACATATTGGCTTTCCCGGACGTATTTAGTAGTGAAGCTACCTGGCATCAACAGAGGAAATATGGTAGATATTTACGTTTGGGTATTTACTAACATTAACTCAAATCAATGTTCAACAGGTAGTGTTTTTTGAAGACAAATTTATTGAAAGTTAGTGAAAAGACCGGAAGTAAGTGTTTGAAATAACTAATGCAACCGCATGAAACAAGAATGGAGAATAACTGTAAATGGAAAATAATTCCCAACTCTTACAAATATATATAAAGTAACTTCAAATAATCAGATCCATATAGACGCTCAGGCTGATGCCAGATTATATATTCTGTTAAACACGTTTTACAAACAACCTCTCAATGTCATATTATACCTTTGATTTCGTAGAGTGCATCCGGAAGCACCATGTCCAATGGCATCTCGAATGCAAAGACTGTGGAGGATGTGATCTCAGGCGCTTGACCTTAAAACAATTTGTTTTAGTCGGATAAGTTTTTCAACAAATCGTGGCATAAACAATGCTCTCTTTCTGTTAACTCTATATAGGATCCTTTGAAGCACATGTTTCAAAGAAATTACATTGGTAGTGCCGACTAAATTTAAACAGACTAATTCTCACGCTCGCAGTGGATACTAGGGACGTATGTTATGAAAGGGAGACAGTTAATGCTTCCAGATATCTCGAAAAGCCTTCTAGACGTAGTTACTTGACAACACCGCACGGCTTCATCGCCATTTAGCCTAGATCGTGCGAAAACTCCGGCTTCCACATTCTCTAGATTTTGAGTCCTCGTAAATTGGAGTGCTTCCCCGCCTTAAAGAGAGCGAAACGTTGATGTGAGGTAGCACGTCCAATCATTGATTCTATCAAACCAGTAAACAATAATAAAATTACATATGATAACGCAGTTCACATGTATATAGTTGTTGAAAAGCGTTGACGTCCATCTGTGCAATCGTCAAAAGATCTGATCTTATATAGTTCAGAAGTTATTATTCAAGCTTTTAGACCCGCTAAATAGCTCCAAACAGTCTAACATAATCATGCTACAAATTACTCTGTATCTTCAATGGAGCATAGTACCAAACCGTGCAAGAAGTATAGGCTTTTCTTTAATGGAAAAAGTGTGAACTCGGAAGTTAATTACTCAGACAACAGTTGACACTAGAGGATTTTTTGTCTTGCTGCGGAACAGATAGAAAAGCCCTACATCCCCTATCAACAATATTAAACTTGCTAGAGGAGCATGATCTCTATCGAACTAAGTGCACCATCGAGAAGGACGTAGAGAGCTTCAAAAGGACGCGCTCTTTTGTTTCGTTTCTGAACAAGCGTTCTATTTAACATATACACACACACACACACACCCACGCAAAAAGACACATGCACGCAAGCATGCACGAGCATTTACACATGCACACCCACACACATACACGCACGCGCTATTTTGGATACGCAGTGGAAAGCGCTCGGACCCTTCGTGAAAGGGGTTGAACCGAGAAGCCAGCGGCGTGGTGAGCAGATTAACTTACAGAGCGCACCTCAAGTGAAATCATTAAGCAATAACACGAGTTGGCATACGACGACAAATAAAAGGAAACGTGTTTAAGTTGTTCTACCAGAGGGAACGAGAGCAGTGCTACTCTTAATTACACTTACTACAAGAAATCATTGCTTAGGGTAAAAATGGACAGCTTATGGATGGAAAAAACAGGATATGGAAAACCAGCACTGGCTAATGTGTATATATACGCATCTCCATACTTATAAAAAAGAACCAATTTTTGCCAAGTGAAAACTACTAACTACATAAATAGCCTGCAAGTTCCGATAGTAGTTTTTCAACATAATCAAAAATGTAACTTGATTACGTGAACACAGCCAGGCTGTTGTTGTACATCATCTACGCCTTGTTTAAAATCCTGGATTGGTCTAGGTTGTGAATTTACAAAGAAATTTCAGGTCGAAACGTATAAATAATTTGTCAGAGACGCAACAACACAACATAGAGAGATATAAGCCGAAGTGATCTTGATTTCCCCTCCGTTTTATGCCCGTCACACGTATATCGAATTCATATCACAACGACTTGTATCAATTCGGATTTACATAAGATAATATATAGGAAACTTCTCACTGTTACCTGATTCGACGCGTCTACACTCGACACAACCCCAAGAATGCCTCCCATGATCGAAAAGTTCTCCGTGAAAATCTCCTCATTAGCATACTTGAAGAGTAGGAAGAGAGGGAGGAGGAGGGGGAAAAGGAGAACATCCGCGTTGAAAACAGCAGGCCTGCTGCTAGCTTTGGTCCTAGCTGCTAGCCTAGGTGGTCAAACCATGATAAGGCTGATCAATGACTTTAAGAAGAGGCAAACGCTCGGCCACGATTTACCCTTGCCTTTAACAACAATGGCGACAGTAGTAAGAGCGTAAGCTGCTGGACAATTTTGCAGGCGAGAGAGAAACGCAGCGTAAAACTGAGTTCCAAGGCAGAGGTTAGCGATTACAGGGCAGAAGTCAACGCAATGGTAAAGAACAGCGTCGTTGTTGGTGATATTGAGCTTGAAAAGCCGCTGAGGAAAGCAGTGCACTGGGAACAAACCCGCGAGCAAAGCGGGGACAGCCAAAGAAGTGGGAATTCGGCCAACCCCGACCGATGAGTGCATCTAAGCCACATTTACGTTTGTCGAAGTTACTTCTACCGCGTTGCTTTGCTTACTCCAGACACTTCTGTCGTTTTGCTTGTTGTCTACATAGCAGTATTTCCTGGAGCTTTTACGTTGTCCTATTGTGGTCAAACGGCGACTGACTAGCAAAGAGCTGTTGCTGCCAACGTATGACTACCTTTCGCGGCCCTACACCGAAGGTTGTGCTACCTCTTCTAGTTAGCCAACCTGCATCGAAAAAGAACAAACGGCAGATGGCTAACCACCACAGGGGTGTTCTATGGTAGCAACAGCAGCAGCTTGGCGCTCTATGGTAAGCTTGCTTCCAGATTCTTATTGCCTCGATTAGGACAAAAAGGACAACCGAACATTGGCAGCTGTAATCCGAGTCTGCTCGGGTGAATGGTATCGCCAAGTCGCTGCGTGGCCGCATGACTGACTGGCTGGTTTGTTAAAGACCGAAAACGATGTCGTTCACAATTAATCCTAATAAATGAAATAGGCTTTCTCGATCAACGTTAAAGATAAGGAATACCGCTCGGGATAGAACAGCAGGACAGGATCTAACAACGGCAGCAGCAGCAATTGCGACGACAGCAGTTGCAATGCCGTTCCTACAACGACTGGAAGAGTGACAGCAACATCAATGGCAACCATAAACGGAGAGCTTCAACAGCAACAGGAGTAACCTCCATCGCCAGTGAATACTGTTCACTTTTTCTTGAGGCTTAAAGTCCTTCTTAGCGGGATCAGCCTAGCAGCCGAAGTTTGTCTACGTTACTTATGTAGTTGCGACGATAGTAATACGTTATTCTATAGTGTGGAGGCATATGTGAGTATGGGTGTGCATCACTACAGGGCATTTATGGTACGCTCTATCTGGTCGCTGCCATTGTGTCGTTGTTGCCTGTAGTTGTTTTCCGCTCGTCTGCCACCAGAGAAGCTCTAAGCAAACCAAGTATCGAACCAGCCAAACAACGAACTAGCTAGAATGGCTACTCTCACTACGACCGTGACCTTTTTTCTACTAGCTAGCATTCTTAAATGCAAGTGCGGACTATTAGGTGTTATGTCGCCAGGTCGAACGGCCGGATGGATGAACGACGAGTAACATCTCCCCCTTTAGGCTCTGCACTTCACTACTGTCACCACCTCTTCTGCCTGTTCCCTGTTTCTTCAGAAAGAGAAAATGCCCCTCAGCCGCCCTGTTCCTTCGCTAGACACAGCGGGAAACTAAGCAGCGGAGAGATAATCTCGGCAGTATAACAGAACCTTAGATGGCTATGAGGAGACGTTAGCAGGAAGCAGTTCCAGGACAAGTCGTCAACCTTCGCATGTTTGGGAAGTTGGACGTCTTGCCGACCGGCCCAATTATTGCTGTTCTGTGGTCTTGTCGTACCGGCTGCTACAGCCGTTATGCTTCTGCTGCTGAATACTCTGCTCCTGCTTTTCAGTCAAGGATCTCGTTCCCGCCATCCCATCCAAGTCGTGTTCAACTTCGTAGCAGCAGTAGCATCAGTCGGCCATTTTCCTGCTGCCACTGATGCTATTGCGTTATGGGCATACTCCATCTAACTGGCCATGCATATCGTCTCCGGTCACATATGATAACGCCCTCCTCATATCTCACACAGGGACGTTGTTAGCCATTTCCGCTGGTCTCGCTGACCCTGTCGCTCTCGATCCTGTCCACGGTCTGAGCAGGCCAAGCTGAGCGGACCGACAGATGAGTTAGACTGAAACATCAATCAGTATAGCAAAGTCATCGTCGCTGTTACCGATTCTCTGTAGCAGAAGGTTGTCGACATATGTGGCCGAGTGCTTGTGACTGCTAGAGCCGTTGCTACTAGCGAGGCAGGCCGCCACGTTGCTGTTGTTGCTGACAGAACGCGGAACGGCCGTCGCAGAATAGTTCGCTACCACGTTCTTGCTGGTTAGATGGCGTTCAGTCGTTGGCTTAGCAGGCGGCCATCTAAAGCCCGACCAGGCTGTGGACACTTTCTGCTAGTCCACTGGTGCTGCCGCTGCTGCCGTCATAGAATAGGCGGCGACAGTAGCAGTGGCGGAAATATTGGCAAGTGAAAAGAGTAGGGCGAACGTTAGGATTAAAGTAAGATCGGCTTATGCTTATGGGATTAATTTGCTACTACTATAGCAGCCGTTGTAACCGATGCTGATTAGCCGAAAAGTCCCTGAAGAGAAAGAAGAAGCCGATGCTGGTTTACTATGAGCAGTAACAGACGGTCATAGGCTGAAAGGGATAATGGGGCCAGAGCGATAACCCACAGGCTGTGGGTTGGCGGAGCTGCCTCTAGCGGCAGCAGCAGCTGACACAGTCCGCTCCGCCGATCACGCCATACAGCAAAAGTTCCTTCATCCGTTTAGAAAATTCACCGTAGGCAAGCCAGGTCAAGTCGCGCCACCATGTTTTAGCTAGCGCCGATTGAGCTTCTGTTTTGTAGCTTATGCTGTCGCTGCTGCAGTCATCTTTATTGTCGTACCCGATGCTAATATCGTTTTTGTTGTCGTCGTTAATAATGTCGAATCCTGTGAGTAACCGTTAACAGCAGGAAGCGAAGGGACAAGCGAGCAGTTCGCTGGCATACGTCTTCGCTATTTCTTATATACACATCAGTGGCGTCAAGCAGTAGCAGGATATGCTAGACTGTTCGCTACCGCTCGCTTCGTCGGTAACTCCGCCGTCGAAGCAGGCAATAGGAAAATGGAGTGATGCTGATGTGTATGTGCTTGTGCTTATGGGAGAGGAAAAAAGGAGAATAACGCACAAAGGGTTTTGCTAGACGACAAGCAAACTGCGAGAAAGGCGGGGCTCTAGGTAGGGCTACGTACAATCTAAGCTAGGTTTGGACCTACTAACCTCTTTCCTGGTGCCGCTGCTGCGGCCTAAGGGTTGAAAATACAATGGACTCGTTACTCATGCCGACAGGTTGCGTGAGGACCGACTCCACCTCTGGCTCTGCACCACGTCACTGCCGCTGAATCGTGCGTGTTGTCCCTGGGCGGGCGACTTGCCAATCACCCGAAATAGCGTCACTCCTAATAGTCGCCGGGAAAAAGAGACAGAAAAAGCAAGTTGACGAGACAAGGCTGCCTGGCTTCTGCCGGCCAACACAGCTGTTGTCTGTTTCTGCTGCTACTTCTGCCGTTAGTCCTGTAAACAGCCTACCAGCGAGTCTGACTAGGTAAGCAGTCTTACTAGGATAGGCACTAAGGAAGTCTGTTGTTTTTTTTGTTTGTGCGATGTGCCTATCCAGGACGCCGGCTAGGAAAGGGACTACAAATGACGGCCAACAGTAAGCAAGGCCACTGGTTCTGATGGCAGAAATTATGCTGAGATAACGAGGATTGGTGGAACGGCGAAATCCGTCCAAAACAGATGAGGAGAGCAGCAAAAGATGGTGGCACGTCGACAGCTGTTCGCGCATCGGCCTTCTCATCGCCAGTCCTACTCTTCGACTTCTATGATATCTTTGTAGAATGCAGGGAAAGCTAAACGATGGCCCTTGTCGTTACCGAACCAACCGTTAGCCGCGTTAGAGCGGAGTCAGAGGTGGCGTGGTGGTACAGCAAAGAAATCTTCATTGTTAATACTGCCACGCTGGGTTCTATTCGATTAGAGAGTGCGACATCCAATGATCCACATGAACAATGGAACAGCAGGCGAAGGACAGTGTCTGGTGGAAGCGGCTTGCGATTCCGAAAAAGGACAAGGGCCGTCTCGCCGCAAAGGGCAGTGCTAAGGTATTAATTATTCATTGACTGATGAGCAGGTCGTCCCACCTTTACGTAGTAGTGCGTCGGCGGGCAATGGGTTCCCACGAATCTACCGTCTTTTCTGTAGTAGTTGCGCGGGCAGGCTCCGATGCAATCCATATCGATAACAATGGTAACTGGCACGACAACAACAATAACTAGAGCAATAAAGAGCAAAGATGGGAAATTCAGGCACGTGTTCATCATCCCTTTTATGCCGCCAGTCATCAAACAACCAACAGTACTGTTCAGTAACCCGCTGATGAGCTGTGTTCAATTTGATCAGAGGTATGGCCGCCGTCGGCGATGACAACAAACTTCTACCACATACAAAAGTACTCGCTTTACCGCAACCTCAGACACTTCAACGGGATAAAAGTAGACCTGTTAGCTTGCCTGTAGAGTTCACCCTGTCCCCTAGTTTGGTGAATGTGAGCACATCGTACATTCACGGTGCTAAGTAAAGTAAGTGATGACGGTTACTCCGAAGGCAACCAGTCAGAGGGAGAGCCAACGAGAAGATGGCTAGGAAGCTGTTGGCGATGGTTAGTGACGCTGATGTCTATTGGGATTCAGGCTTTCCGTTAGCTCTCAGTAACGCTTGGTTGCTGGAATGGAGATCTTGAATGTGAATATCTAAGTGAAAGAAGAAGAAGTAAGAAAAAGAGAAAAATAATTTATTCTAGAAATACAGAAAACGAAAAAGGGACCATGAAGAGGAAAGATCAGCTTGACAAAGCGAGTTTGGGGTTGCTGTCAGGGGGCGTGCCAGTTGCGAGGGATCAAATGCTGCGAATGCCGTGACCTAACCTCGAGCTGCTGCAAGGCAACGACGTGAGGTACCACTCGAGAGTAGACAAGCTTCACAGGTGAATTTTCGGCGAACATCATCTAGAATTTGTATCTCTCCCCTTGATATCCACCATTGATTGTTATACTGAGGCGCAAGTAGAAAAGAGTAATATTCAAAAGGCGTACTGCGCGTTTGATTGCAGGACGACGTGATTATAGATTCGACTTCATGGCTACGTATAGCGATGTATACTTGAGGATAGAGGGTGCCTTCAGATCGTTGTTTGATTGGTTAGTTCGATCCAATAGGGAAATCGCACTCACATTGCCTAGAATAAGTGACACACCGCTTATATTCAAATAGCTAGTTTTCAACGGTAACTAGCATATCACGCATTTACAGGCCAATAGCCTTGTAGGAAGGTAAAAGGTATAAGGATAAAAAAGGACGTTTAAACTCAAACTTACATAACATGAGCTGGGGAATACAAATCAAATGAGAACGATGAAATCCAATGATTCCTAGCTTGGTGTGCCACTGGCCAGCTTCTGAAATTCGGCAAAATCTTCATTATTTAAGTTTTTTAAACAAAAAATAACTGCGGCAATGATTTTAGTGTAACCCTACTCTTTAGATAGACGAAACAGTAAAAATGAAAAAAATATGTAAGTGTAACTTACATATAGGTTCCAAGATTTTTGAAGTTGCTCGATAATCAGCAAAATGAAAATTTTTTATGTAGCTTAAGGTAAATAAATTTCTGAATAAAAGCAAAAGTATTCTGAATCGCGTAATTTTTTTCTTGTTACCTGTCCTACTTTCTTACCTATTTAAAACCTCTCGTCATTGACATTACAGTAACATAGGCCATTTCAAATATAACGAGCCGCAGGTATA